GGGGTGAGTTGGGACACATGTGGCAGCCATTTTATTTCCGGCTGCTCCCTGAAAACGAAACCAATTTGGACCGAGTGAACTGTCGCATACTGAACTACTTCCGGAGTAAGTTGCTTTCCTTTTGGCATCTTTAAGACTTGAAGGATTTTGATATTCTGAGAAAGAAAAGAGTCAAAACAGTGATATAAACAATGCCTCATTATTGTTTGTGTTAATTTTTTTCTTTTCCGTTTTTTTTGTCAGTTCCGCTTGTATTTAACGAGTGACTTTTTCTAATGCTTCTTACGTATTTTGATCGTTTCAACATTCAATCCGGAATGGTTGAAAATTTTCTTCTATCATAAATTTTACTAGCTCATTATCCTACTACTGTAATATTTTCTCCCCCGATCATGTGCATGGAAAAGAGCTTTGAATCTTATTTCGTATAAACAAAATATTCATCATATTTCTTTAAAAAATAAATTATAGATATCTCAACGAATAAATACTCACGACTCATTCTCACAAATCATTAACCCGCCCTCATCTAAAAAAAGAAGAGGAACAGTCTTGTAGCAGCAACTCAGGTCAGACGAAAAATTCTGAAATAGCATTGTTAATGTAAGTCGGATCCTTTGATATTTCTTGTAAGAAAAAAAATCAAACTGACCAGGTGACTGCACACTGTAACTTGTACTTCCGTCCCTAACGTAACCATGGTTATAAGAACAGTTGTAAGAACCAATAGTGTTTATGTACGTGGCTGTTCCATTGAGGCAACCGTGAACGCCCACTGCACATTCATCAATATCTGCGAAATATAAAAAGGCACCTGTCCATACTGTACACTTCCTGTAAGTCATTTCTATGTGTGGGTTTAACATTTTTTCACCAGAGCTCACCAAGCAAAACAAATAGACTGATATTAAACTGGTTTTGAAAAGTCTAAACACAGTAAAACACTTTTTCCATAAAGGAAACAAAATAAATTACTTTAAAATTGATTTAAGATATTTTTGCTGGGAGTTAAAAGCTTTAGGAACGTAGAAAGTTTTATCAGTCATAAACTTCCTTGTATCGGCTCATCTTAATTGTAAAACACCTTTGTCGTCTGTGCCATTTTTACGGTACCAGTACGTAATCCAAATGGATGCAAAAACCGACTTTTGCCATGACAGATAAGTGTGATAGGTGCTTAGCTCGACTCAAACATTCTAACCCGGTTGATCAAAGTATATCGATCAGAATTAATAGAGTTAACTTGAATTCGAGACTCCCTT